TTGTTTGGTTTGACATTAAATGAATTCATTGAGATTTTAAATGAGAAAAATATGTAAAAAACCTCATTTTAAATCATTTTTATTTACGGTAATTAATGAGTTTTTAATGTTAGCTCAAAAATTCATTGCTCAAACAATAGGTGAGTGTTTGTACCACTTATAATGGAATTGCAAATATTTATAAATTACCACAATAACAGAGTAAGATTTAATTACAATTTTATTTTAATTCAAATAAAAATTTTTAATACATATAACTGTAATCGAAATGGAAATGTATGTCATAATGCGGTCATAAGTATCTCGTTGAAGACTAATTAGAAATTCGTAAAAAAGTATTAAAAATTGTTTAATCATTGGAATGCAGTATTCTGTAAGAATTGAGACATTATATTCATTTATTGTTGGGATCGTCACCATTGGTTGGCTTATTGAGGAATAGGTCCTCAACGATACCGTCGATATATTTCTCGGGAGTGTCCTCTCGGAAGTGTTTAAGTCTTAAGTGCTCTTTAAAGGACTTTTCGCAATCGATGGCAAAATCGCATTTCTGGTGTATTTTGCATTCAAACACTTTCTTGCCGTCATGTTTGGTACTCTTCTTGATGTGGCGGTAGATATCAGTGAGAATGTTGCCCACCTGTAGGGTTAACCACAATGTTATGCATTCAATCAATATATGGTACCATAGTCACAGTCAATGTATAGAATGGTTTCTACTGAAGAATATAGTGTATAATAAAAGTAAAAAAGGGGTTCGGGTGGCCATGGCCCCCTCCACACCATTCCTCGGTCTTGTACTGTTCAGACATTAACTCCTATGAGTTTCATTGAGTTTTATCTGCATTTCATTCAACTCTCATTCAAACCATTCATTCTCATCAGAAATCACTCCAATTCTCACACGAATGTTATAACACTCTAACATATTCTTCGAGTTTAACCATAAAATAAGATAATATAAGATAAAAAATGAACTTGCGTAGGCACAATACGGGCACTGCGGAAGAAGATAATAAGACAATTAGACATAATATAAATGTATAATCATGTGGTGATTGAGGGAAACCTTGTACTTGGAGTTGGTGTGGGCGCTGATGTGAAACTCGAGTTTCTGTTTGTTGTTTGTAGTGAAGGAGCAGTGAGGGAACGAACACTTCAACACCTCATCGCCAGACACTTGCGGCGAATAACTAAAAGACGTGTTGCTTGTGGTCACGGAAGTGGAGGGCCCGGGAGTGGGCGCCACTTCGATGGGCGTTCCGTTGGCCGACAAGATCATGGTTTGAGTGCCTCTACTGGCCGATGGCTTGTAAACCGTTGTGATTAACGGCTCTTTCGGTATCTCATAGCCAGAAATGGTGATTGTCTTCGACTGACGAGTGCCTTTGTATCTCTCGTGTTCGTGTTTGTGGTGTGTCTTCAGGTAATCGATGTGAGTGAAGAAGATATCGCATT